TGGGGATTCTGTCAGAAATTTTCCATTAACTGCACCACCTTTATCAGTGACCCTTGTGATGCCTCCTTACCTACTCTTGGCTTCTAGTTGAACGCCCATGCAGTGTACAGCGGCAGTCAAAAAAGCAAATAGAATGCTAGGAATTATTAAGAAAGGGATAGCAAATAAGACAAATATCTTACTGCCTCTATATAAAACTACAGTACGCCCACATCATGAATACCGCATACAGATGTGGTCTCCTCACCTCAAAAAAGATATTTTGGCATTAGAAAAGGTTCAGACAAGGGCAACTAAAATGATTAGGGGGTTTGGAATGGGTCCCATATGAGGAGAGGCTAAAGAAACTAGGACTTTTCAGTTTAGAAAAGAGGAGACTGAGGGGGGATATGATAGAGGTATATAAAATCATGAGTGGTGTGGAGAGGGTGAATAAAGATAACATATATTTGTTCCCATAATAGAAGAACTAGAGGACACCAAATGAAATTAATGGGTAGCAGGTTTAAAACTAATAAAAGAAAGTCCTTCTTCACACAGCGCACAGTCAACCTGTGGAACCCCTTGCCAGAGGAAGCAGTGAAGGCTAGAACTATAACAGTTTTAAAGAGAGCTAAATACATTCATGAGATACATTAAAGAGAGCTAGGTGCATAAAAGGCTATTAGCCAGGGTGTAAGGAATGGTGCTCCTGGCCTCTGTTTGTCAAAGGCTTGAGAAGGATGGCAGGAGACAAATTGCTTGATCATTGTCTTCAGTCCACCCCCTCTGGGGCACCTGGCACTGGTCACTGTTGGCAGACAGGTTTCTGGGCTAGATGCCTTTGGTTTGATCCAGTATGGCCGTTCTTATGTTCTTATTAGTTTAAATTGTTCAGCCAGTATTAACTTGGCCACTTGAATTTTGTTCTGCAGCCAGTCCACCACCCTTCTCAGCTAGGCTCTTCAGAAGTACTTTTCCCCTGGAGCTTCAGAGTCAAGTGCTCCGTAGGTGTCCTGGGCTGGGCTAGTCATGTGGGGGACTAGCTGAAGGCCACAATGATCTGGAGGCCTTTGAGAGAGCATGGCTACCTATTCAAAGGTGTTCAAGAAAGTGCCGGGATCATCATCTGGTCCCATCTTCACCATTTTCCTCAGCACCGATAGCAACGCAGGTTTCTGACTGCAAACCTATCACCAACTATCATGCTAGCTGTTGTTGCTCTTTATGCTGTTTTGTCAATTAAGACAACAGCTGCTGCTGAGTGGGCCACTGTTGCAACAGCTCTACTGGAACTGATATGCTCCATATATCTGCTGGGTGACAGAGAGCCACTTCCAGCACTGCTGGGCTAGGTCTACATCCCTCTTGCACAAGGACTTTCAGTCTCTCTACCTCCCCCTATGGCAGCCGGGTCCACATGTAATTGGATGGTGAGGGTAGTACCTTTCTTGTCTTGTACATACCTCTTTCGACAGTGGTTTGACTACAGTTTGGGTTCCAGACTTGATGTATAGTTCTCCAGCTGTACCTCTTAGAGGGTTTAGCCCTTCTGTGAGATGGGTGATAGAAGACCTCTGAAAGGAAACGGCAAAACTCCTCCATGGCCCCGCAGTCTCTGAGGAGAAAAGACAATAGTTTTTGGGAAGGTGGTCTGGGCTTCTTTCCTTTGTGTGTCTAAATAACAAGACTCTGAATTTAAAAATAATGAAAAGTTGTTCCCTCTGAGAACTTGAACTATTAGTGCTCTGGAAAAGTTCCCCCAGTAACAACCCTTCTCCCCTGAGGCCGGAGAGCTCAGTGCTCCTAAATACCACCCATCCAAGGGCCTTCCTTTTAAGGTCCCATCCTTCTCCAAGGTTGACAAGCCTAACAGGTGTGGCACATTGGGATTGACTGAGCGCAGAAGAGTTCTTTAATTCCCTTTTAACTGGGGCAAGAAGCAGTTGTGCTACAGGGGCTTCATGTGGAAAATTCCACTGGAACCTGGTCTGAGATCATTGACTTGATTCCTTTAGGCCACTGAGCATTAGTTAGATGGTGACACACAACTGTTTTCTGTTTAATGTATTGCCACATTACTTGCTGCTTTGTATTAATCTTCATTTCCTCTCTTTTCTGGAAATATAGTCAGATTTCAGAGGAAAGGTGGTGCATCTAAATACTCTGAATGTAAAGATTGCCTGTCCCATAGGCGGATGCTGCTGAAAGAACATGCTGAATCATCACTACCCCACAGTAGCCCTCTTCCCAGGTCCAGTCTTCTGGACTGCACCTCACCAAGCAAAATGAAGAATTAGGTCCCACCACTGCTACCTCCTGGCAATTCTGCTGATCCTGGGTTTGTGCTGGCGCAATCAAGCATTGGTGCATCTATGTGAATCAGACCCCTCATATTACTTTTTCTTGTTTATCTCTCTCTGCAGGTCAGTGGTGCCTTTTAATATTAGCAGCTACTGCACCAAAAACTAATTAATCTTCAGAACAGATTCATTTTCTTATTTCCCACAGTATTAATGTTCATTCTGTTACTATCATCTGGTTTCTGTTATATTGGGGCTTCTGGGGTACCTCATGTCCCATGCACCAGGCATGAGAATGGGAGGGATGACAGAGGTTCTACTCGCCTATGGCTTTCCAATTTCCTCCCACTGTCATCATCAAGCTGCCCCAGTGTAACTTCTTCCTTGCTCTGTCCCTTGGAGAAGAAAGAGAAACCTCTGTGAAGCAGGAGATAGTGATTGTACTAGAAAAAAGAGGGCCTTAATCAGCAGCTTCCAAAATAACCAAAGTTACAATTTCAAATATATTACACACAAAACAATGCTGACACAGAGTTACATTTGCAAAGCTGAGCATTGGAAAGTCAGGCATGGCCAGAATAAAGGTTTCTTGTTCATCCTTATTTTGGGTGCTTTGGTCATATATATTATGAGGCAATCTTTAATTACATGTATACATACTATTTTTTCTACCCAGTGTACTCACTTCCCTCCATTGGCTCCTAACTCCCTTCTCCCTCACCCCATTTCCCTGCCCAGCCATTCTCAGGCTCTCCTACTTTTAGACACAGTCATCTCAGTCCATCTCATCCCAGCTCAGGTTCCACCCTCTCAGTTTCCTGCCCAAGTTTTTCTCCCCTCCCTCCCTTTCCCCCTACTCCTGCCAGCATTGTCTATCCATCCCATCAGGCTCCTGGTCCCATTCTATTCCCTGGTCCCTCCCCAAGCATGTGTCTAAGTGGAATGCTCCAGAGCTCTATTCCAACACTGCTGCAAGGGGCCTCCCTTCACTATCAATGCCATGGCTTATGAATGAGAGTTGTGGAAGTACCAGAAGTCCACTGCCCCTTTCTCATCTCGTTCATCTCTTGTTTGCATTTGTCATATGATTTGCTTCTCCTTCATGTCTGGTACAGTAGAGAGCACCAACTAAAAGCTCCCTCTCCTCAGTTCTTGCGTCCAGAGTCAGCATTTCATAAGTGCAGCAGCTGGGAACCGCAATTTCAAGGAAAGTTCTGATTGGTACCTGAAGCCTCGGGATACAGCACATTTATTGTCGTCAGAATGTGGTGGAAGCTTTGCAGCTAAATTCTTCCCAATTTTCACTGAGCATGTGTGAACAGAGATTTTTTTCAAAGACTTATAAATTGGTCAAATCTGGGATCAACAAAAAGGCCTGATCCAAATGAAATCTCCCTGACACATTTGTAGGCCTCTCTGCTCCAAAACCTGAAGACATGTGATATTTTCAGAGAACAGGTCGCTGGAAGAAGGACTTTTGCCTGAACGGGAGCAGCATAGTATTTCCGCAAGAAGCACTGATTTCAGACAGTAGGAAGTCAGTGTTCTTGCAGAAATTCAAGCAGCCAGTGTAGACAGCTGGCAAGTTTTTCCACAAAAGCTTCCGAGTCTAGACACAGCCCAAATGTTTAGAAAAGTGAGTCACTCTCCTAAAAAGTGAGATCTGTGCATGTGGCATTGCTTTAACTCCCCAATGAGGATTTTTGTCTGGCAATTGCCTCTAATTTTAGAAAAATAGGAGAACAAACTTTGTTATTCCTATCTTCATAGTTTTATCTTAAAGTAGCCTGAAAATTCTTAATCAAAATTTATTTAGCTAAAAAACTCAGCTAGCCAAGGGACTGTCATGTCCATTGGTCCCTGTGAAAAGACAATATTCAAAGGACGGGAATATACAACTTTAGAACTCCTTAGCTTTTTTGAAGATTTTAAATGACAAACACCCGCTTCTAGCAGACCAATAATGTAAAACTGCCGTTAGTCTGAGCTATATGGGGCCTACCATCTTTTCATAACATTAAAGTCCTGAACTCCTGAAGATGCCCCAGGCAATGCAACTGTGTTGGAGCTTTGTGGTTTTAGTCTGGGGTAGGGAGCTAGCTGTCTTCTGCAACACTATCCCATGAAACCCCATAAAAATTCAAGCTGGAGATCTGATTTCATCCCTGTGGGTTCCTTCCATGGCTTCTACTAATATAGTCACCAACATCATGGCTCTTGCAAGAGGGTGGACAATGGAGCCTCTGAAGGGCCAGTTGTCAGTGAAGACATTTCTTGTTTCTGAAGATTTCCTCTTCTCTATAGTTTAGGCATCCTCAGTCCCTGCTAAGCCCAAGGTCATTGCAACTTTGACTTTCATATTTTCTAAAAAGTGCAATTTTGGATAAGGATTTTTCTCTCAAGTTACTGACTCACACTTACAGACTCATCTCCGATTTCTCTTCCTCCCTTTCCTGGTCCTTTTTTTAAATTTATTTTTTACTGTATTCTTACTAAAAGGCATATTAACCCTTTAAAGTTGTGTGATAAATATGTTCCCAGAAACCCTCAATGAACTGCAAACACTGAGCTTGTCATTGATATTTTTAGA